AGGAATACTTAAAATCCCACATATTAACTTATTATTAATAACAGCCCTTCTAAGCAATAAGAACGTGAGTATTATCTTACTGATATGGAATAAGACCTTAAAAAGGGCTGCATCTTATCAAGGTCAAACAAAAAGCCATTAATAGAAATTAAAAGTAGTTCCCCTCCCCCTGTATGCCTCCCAATAACCTAGTATGTCCATTCCAGAATAGTTTGATTCTGAATCTATAGCACTAATGGGTTTCTTGCTGATGAACAGCTCTCTTGATCTAGTTCAAGCAGAAGACCGCAGATCCTTGCTGCCTTTTCCTGCCTTCTGGAGGAAACGCGTCTGTATCCCTTTTCTAAACTGAGCAGATGAATATCGAACTGTTCTATTTCTCTTTAAAATGCAACAGTGCACAGACCTCTGCTTTTGGAGAGAAGAATTAAAAAAAAAATAAGATTCTATAGTCTTTGAAGGCATCAGAGGAAATAGATACCCTGGCTTTGTTTTGGGAATCACTCTCAATATTTCCTGTGGTTTTGGCCGCATTTGAAAAGAAGCGTGTTTAGGGAGAACTGAAGACCCGCCTTCCTCCTCTTTGTCCCTCCATTATCCTGGTTGGAAGCCTGGGGTGAAAGGCATAGTCTGATCTCTTGCCAGGAAGACGATCAGGTATCCTTTCACAGCTAGCTCTCGGGGTCTCTCCTGACCATCAAGACATTTGTCCGTAACTCTTCCTTTGTTTTAAGTTCTTTGTCTAATGTTCTTTGTGTAGGAGACTCCTCCCCACTAACTGGTCAGAGCGTGAGGCTGGCAGCCCTTTCCCTGGAACAGCTGAAGCTTTCTTCAAACAACTGAAAGCTAGCAGCTTTATCCAGAAGTACGAATCTCCTCAAAAGCTGCAAAACAACAGTTCAGTTGGTTAACTACCATGATGCTTCATTAGGATTTATTAAATAACAATATTTAATGGCAATACCATTGATGTTGAAAATGGGAAATGCACTTTTTGAAACAGGTGCAGAGCAGTACCCACCTTTTTGCTTTGTCCTCTTCTGTATTCTGCTGACGGTTTCCTTTCCACACCAGCCTGGCTTTGCGTTTTCTGCGTCTCCGATCTCCCCGAGCAGCTCCAGTCCTACTTAAGGCTCCACTCGAGGGGGTGGAGACTCCAGCGGCAGTCGGGCGTGCGTTTTTTACCGCCCCACCCCTTCCAGCGGGTCTGGGATGGTTCGAATAGGGGGGCTCATGTGCGGAGCATTGGGGTCGGCCTGGGCGGGAGCGGCGGAGCGCTCGCTGCAGCGAGGCGGGCGTGCTGGGTGCTGCAGCCCGTTTGCTTTGCGCTTTCGCTCTTCCCAGCACCGAGCAGCTGCGATCTTCAAAACGTTTTTTCCCCAGCGAGCACCTTAAGCTTCAGTGACAGTGAGAACAGCGTGTGTCCCGTATGATGAACTGTCCCATCACGCTGCTGGGAATGTGAGGGGCACTGCCCGGCAGTGCCCCAGGTGAATGCACAGCTGTATTATGTCTAACGTGACCAGCGGCCTGCACCTGTAGGCTTAGTTCTAGTACTGAGAGACTCCTGATTCGAGCAAGAGCATAGTGTGCTGCGCTCCGAATGGTGTCCATTGAGAATCTTTGGCAGAGAGACCCTAACCTGTATGTGGAGCAAAGCATGCCATGAGCAGTGCCACTCAGAGAAGAAATGGTGAGAGGAGGTCTCAGGTGGAGACAATGAGCAAAACTTCTAAGGATCCTTGTATAGAAATAAGGAATAGCGTGTTGAGGACCAGAGTTCAATGTTTGCTGATACTGTCCATCCTAGAAAATGAACGTCTTCTCACCAGGATGAGGTCACTAGGTCACCAAAGTGTAGCAGACAAATCTGAATGATCAGTTTTAGAGCTGAATTTAGGGCTGGGTTACAAAAACTGTTGGTGGTGCAATTGTTACAGTAATGGATGTGTCCTAACTTTTAGGAACTGATTCACTAGAAATCAGGTTCCTGATACAATTTAGTGTAAGCACAGACATAAGAAATGGTGTGTAAGGGACCTTCATCTTCAGGAAGTAGCTGCACAGTCCTTATTTGGAAAGCATGGTAATGGTTATTTTGCATATTGGCGAAGATGAAACACTGGTTGTTGTGAATGTTTATCTCTTCTCTGTATGGAAAGCTATGTCAAGGTTATCACATGTATTTCTCTAAGAGTCACAGTGTTGGTGATAACATTACTGCCATAAATCTGATTTAAGGGCAGCTATGTTTGACTTTTTCCAGAAGGGACTCCCAGTTGTTGAGAAAAAGATTATTGGACACTGGTGAGTGAGCAGGGGCTAATTTATATTATTTTAAAAGACAACAGCTAAACAGCTATTTGCTACTGGACTTCTAGATTAAAGATGCTAACAAAGTAATGGCCATGGGGGAAACTTAAGGACAGCTATAGCTGTCTAGAGAGTGTACTGTGGGTGCCATTTGTAGTGCTTAAAATATTTTAGGAAAGCCAGCAATAGTAGTGTCACCTCTCTCAAGCACCATCTACTAGCTTACCTCTAAGCTGATCCTGTCTCAGGGTAGAGTTTTGGCAGGACTGTTTAATGTTAGTGATGAAGTGCGTCATCATGACATCCTACAGCAGGCCTACATCCCCCTAACAGGACACTTCCGTGCCTGGTGGCCTTTGCAGGTTCA